TTTAGGTAGGGTTTAGGGTTTAGGGTTTAGGGACTGGGATGGTTCCAGTTTTTAGGTTTGGGAGTTTGGTTTTCCGTACTTCGGGGTTGAGGTGAGGAGGAGGAGGAGCTGAAAATCCCGACTTCCTGGACATTGAGCAGTTGGCTTCTTGCGGAGATTTCTCAGTGAAAGCTTATGTACTCAAGAACTCACACGTTCGAACTGTCAAGGCCCTGACCCATCAGTGCCCCTGTATAACTATGGGATCCTAAATTACCCCCAACACGGGGGAACCTCCAGGTTAAGAGTTGAGAACATCTGAATATCTGTATGCGTAACATAAAGATTGATTCAGGTTTCCTACTGGACCAGAGAGGCTAGCGCGTGTTCCGTGCGAGCAAGGTGCCCCGGCGAAAAGATGTGAGATTTTGCTGCCTCATGGTAAGGGTTGGGCTCCGGTCGTGAGGGAAGTGAGAGGGGCAGGATTCGAAGGTTACTTGCTTGCCTGTATGCTTTGGAGTTTGAACATGTGAACGCCGTGGTGACAAACCTTAGACCATCAAAGACGACCTCGTCTTCTACACCAAACCCTAAACACCCCGAAACCCCAAATCCTACACCTAACCCTACACCCTAAACCCTAAACCCGAAACCCTAAACCCTAAACCCTAAACCCCGAATCCCATTTTGCTGGCAGGAGGTGCAGCGGCCTAACGCCGATTGCGGCAGGCCGGGCACTTGGGATAATGCTTGCGAATCCATCTCCTGAGCTTCTTTGGGGTTCTAAACCCTAACCCCCAACCCCTAAACCCTAAACCGTAAACCCTAAACCCTTCACCCTAAACCCTAACCCTAAACCCTAACCCTAAACCCTAAACCCTAAACCCTAAACCGTTTAAACCCTAGAGTAGACCAGGGCAGTCAGTATGTCCCTAAACCTCCAAACCCCAAACCCTGCCTCAGGACTAAACCCTTATTCTGTGCGCATCCCTTATACTTGGAGGTTCATGGGCAGCTATACGTAGGGTAATATGTAGGGCAACTGTACATATAACCCTACTTAGGGTATTTCTAAACCTGTTTACAACTACCCATGAACCTCCAAGTAAACCGTCTCACCATATTAAGGGCCCAGGTGAAGGAACCACAGCCACCTCTCAAGGGCTTTGGAGAAGAAGACCTAACCCTAGACCCGAAACCCCAAACCCTAAACCCTAAACCCTAAACCCTAAACCCTAAACCCTAAACCCTAAACCCCAAACCCCAAACCCTGAGGCTGCAGGGTTGCTTAATTAGGGGCGTTTGTGGGTTTTTTGTCTCTTTCCGGCCTTGGATGGCTTCAGGACTTTAGGGTTTGGCAGTTGGTAGGGTTTAAGGATAAGGGTTTAGGGTTTAGGGTTTAGGGTTTAGGGTTTAGGGTTTAGGGTTTAGGGTTTGGGGTTTAGGGTTTAGGGTTTAGGGCTTAGGGCTTAGGGCTTAGGGCTTAGGGCTTAGGGCTTAGGGCTTAGGCGCCCTACGAATGCTCTTGGCGGTGTGGGGTTTGGTATCCGGTCACGGCAGCTTTCTGCAGAGGGGTTGATGAAAATAAGGGAGCCCTAATAGCCTCGGGCCGAAGGTGCACAGGTTGTCAGAACAGGCACCCCTCCAAACCCACACATCGGCCCCCTATTTTTTGCCCGGAAAGGGTACCCCCCCGTGGGCGACCAAAATCTGAAAGCGGACGGTTCGCCAAGACCAGGGGCAGTTGAAGCCCCGCCCAGCAGGCCCCCCCCTTCCCACCCCTCATTCCGTCCCCCCCCATCCCGCCCCCCACCCCTCCCGCTTGCTTGAGGTTCCTCTTGAACCCTAAACCCAAAAACCCAAACCCCAAACCGTGAACCTTGAGCCCTAGGCCGTCAACCCTAAACTAACCCTCAACCCTAAACCCCAAACCATAAACCATAAACCCGGAACCCTAAACCCTAAACTCAACCCTTATTGCTTGGGGTCCAGCGACTTCGGCGCGGAATCGGGCCGAGGCGGGTCGTGTAGCGTTAAAATTAGGGAATATTTCTGAAAATAGAATGGGGTTCTTCGTATGGTTTAAGGAATTTTCCTCAACTAAGGAGTATCGGGAGGCTCTGAGTAGACCCCAAATAGTAGGATTCCCTTTTTATGAGGACCCCAACCCCAAATTTCAAAAACCCCGATATAGGGCTTCTCGCGCTATTGTGAAACTTGTGTGGGGACAAGGTACTCTTGTCAGGGATTCCTAGAGGAAAAAAGGATAAGACTAGTGTGGGGGGGGGGGGGGAGTTGCCCTATTTGGGAAATAACCCATGTCCTGTGGGGGGGGGGTTGCCCTATTTGCCCTGTTTGGAAAATACCCCATGTCCAGCAAAACCGCTAAAGATCTGCTACAGACAAGGCGCCACGTGAGATTGATCCTCGGCCCCTTGCAGCTCTCTTTGGGAACACGATGTTGGTAATGCTTCTGGGTCATGCCTCGGCTTTTCGAAACCGCTTTCTTTGAATAGGGTTTAGGGTTTAGGGTTTAGGGTCTAGGGTTTAGGGTTTAGGGTTTAGGGTCTAGGGTTTAGGGTTTAGGCTTTCTTTGAATAGGTCAGCAGGACATGGCGGAGCTCCACAACAAAGCCCCTTGACCTCTCTTACATCCTAAACCCTAAACCCTAAACCCTAAACCCTAAACCCTAAACCCTAAACCCTAAACCCTAAACCCTTAGGGCGCAGGGTTAAAGCTTACAGGGTTTTCGAGGGGATTCAGGGCTCTCAACACGTTGCGGGTTCAATCATATCGTGGCCAAGGTTCCCTCCATGGTCATCAGGTCACCATTGCTCAACCTCGCACAAGAAGGATGCGGTTTAGGGTTTAGGGTTTAGGGTTTAGGGTTTAGGGTTTAGGGTTTAGGGTTTAGGGTTTAGGGCTCAGGGTTTAGGGCTTAGGGTTTTTTAGGATCTAGGGTTTCGGGTTTAGAGTTTAGGGTATCAAGATAAGCGCAAGAGCTCAGTGCCGAAACTCGTGGTGCACGCCACTCAGAAAGCTGCACCGGGGCTTCGAGGCTCGGGTTTAGGGTTTGGGGTTTGGGGTTTAGGGTTTAGGGTTTAGGCTTTAGGGTTTAGGGTTTAGGGTTTAGGGTACAGGGTACGTAGGGTACAAAAGGTGTTCTTGGGGTCAAGAGAACCCACGCTTGAAGCGGGGGCACGCGAGTTTTGGGCTTGGCGCTTAGCAATCGGTGTTTAAATTAGGGAAATCCAACAGAAGGCCGCTGTCTGTCAAGCCGAAAAGACACAAGCACCGTGGAGTCCACATCCACGAGCGACACCCAAACGAACCCTGAACCCCTTGCACATGAAACACTAACGCCCCACAGCCCTCAAACCTAAACCATAAACCCTAAAGCCCCTGAACCCTAAATCCTCAAACCCGATAAACCCCCAAACTCTGAGAACCGCAACATGCAAGGCGCTAGCCGGAAACCCGCAAGACAAACTGCTTGTAAGCTGCCAAGTGCTTAAGGGCTTACAAAGGTTGAGGAGACTAGGAAAAAGCCCTCAGCCCTAACCCTAAACCCTAAACCCTAAACCCTAAACCCTAAACCCTAAACCCTAAACCCTAAACCCTAAACCCTGAACCCCAAACCTTCCGGATGCATGTCTGGGCGCACAATCCTCTCAACCCCCGGCTCGTCTCCCTGCTCGGGATGTGGCAGCTTCATGCTTCAGAGTTTAGGGCGTTTAGGGTTTTAGAGTTTAGGGTTTAGGGTTTAGGGTTCAGGGTTTAGGCCGCGTGGGTTGGAGGCTTCAGGGCCGGGGGTTTGAAGGCATGAGCCAGGCCCTAAGCAAAAGAGGTGAACCGCTACATGCAAAAACCGGCCGGGCCTTGAAATATACCTTCTCTGGGACCCGGAGCCCTAAACCCCAAACCCTAAACCCCAAACCCTAAACCCTAAGCCCTAAACCCTAATCCCTAAACCCTAAACCCCAAACCCCAAACCCTATACCCTAGACTCAAAAACCCATGCGGCCATCGGGGCAGGCGCATTTTACCGCTTTGGCAAGGAGAATCAAAGCACCACCTGAAATAGTCCGATCCTCCTAGATCCAGGCACCGAGAAGTCCTAACTCCCAAAGGGCTGAGGCCCTGACTCCATGAACCCAGAACCCTCAGACCAGGTAAGTTTAGGGTTTAGGGTTTAGGGATCAGGGTTTAGGGTCTAGGGTCTAGGGTTTAGGGATTAGGGTTTAGGGTTTAGGGTTTAGGGTTTAGGGTTCAGGGTTCAGGGTTCAGGGTTCAGGGTTCAGGGTTCAGGGTTCAGGGCCATGAGGGTGAAGGCTGGCCTCCGGCCAGTTTCTTCGCAGCTCGAAGCTGCGGGCTTGGCCAAAAGACAGCGACACGATGCCTTGGGATTGGCTTGGGGTTTAGGGTTTAGGGTTTAGGGTTTAGGGTTGAGGGTTGAGGGTTGAGGGTTGAGGGTTGAGGGTTGAGGGTTGAGGGTTGAGGGTTTAGGGTTTAGGGTTTAGGGTTTAGGGTTTAGAGTTTAGGGTTTAGGGTTTAGGGTTTAGGGGCTTAGGGTTTAGGGTTGAGAGTTGAGGGTTGAGGGTTGAGGGTTGAGGGTTGAGGGTTGAAGGTTGAGGGTTGAGGGTTGAGGGTTCGAGGTTTAGGGTTGCTTGCGAACAGGGGCAGTACTGACTGAACCTACTACAGAAAACAGCATGTATAACTGTATAACTTCATAGTGACTCTGAACCCCAAGGGCCGCTGGCACATGCGAACTGCAAGAAGGTTTTGGTTGTGGGGCTTCGGGGGCTTGGTGGCCGTTAGCGCATCCTTTGCATGCTCTCCAAAAACGCATGTACCCGACACCTGTAAGATTCGGGGATAGTTCTCCAATTAGCGAGGTTGATTGCTTAACCGGTGCCACCACGAATCTCTCTCAGCCCACCCCCAGACCACTTGCCCCCACTCAAACCCAACAAACAATTCAAGACCGCAGCCAAACTGAGAAAAGCCCAGGGTGCGGATGTCTTGCAGCTTGCCCTGGAAGAGGTGCTCATCGTCCGCGTGCCAGCCAACTGAGGCTCCACCATCCTAGTCAGGGGCAGCGGCGGGAGTGGGCAAAAGGCTTTTAGATGCTTATCCTTTTGTGGATTCGGAGCCCCTACCGGTCGATATGGCCCTTTGAACTCACAAGAAAGCTTGAAAACGGCTCAGTGATACAGACCTACATACACACATACATGCATGCATACATACACATGCCCCTCAACCTTGAAACCTAAACGCCAAACCTGAACGCCCCCTAGTGTCGAACCTTTCACCCTACATCCCGAACCCCTTGCTTACTGGCTCTTGAAAGGCAACTTAGTTAGGTACCCAAATAGTACCCCCGAAATCCGGGCACCCGAACTCCAAACAGGGACCTAGAGGCTAAACCCTGCACCCCTGAACCCTAAACCCCTGAACCCCAATGCCCTCAACATCACCAAGCATGGCCACCTCGTAGTAGTTGAGGTTGCAGGAGTCGGGCCACTCCCTCTCACCTATGCCGCAGAAGTGCCTCGGCGTACCGGTTCTGCAAGTAGGGGAGCTCTGAACCCTGAACCCTGAACCCTTAAACCCGAAAGGCAGGGAAGCAAAGCCCTAAACCCTAAACCCTAAACCCTAAACCCTAAACCCTAAACCCTAAACCCTAAAATAGAAGCACCAGTCCCCTTCAATCCCTGACTCCCTCGTCGGCCAAGAACTTTCGAGGCCCCCGAGGCCAGGTTGAGGTCGGGGTTTAGGGTTTAGGGTTTAGGGTTTAGGGTTTAGGGTTTAGGGTTTAGGGTTTAGGGTTTAGGGTTTAGGGTTTAGGGTTTGGGGTTTGGGGTTTGGGGTTTGGGGTTTGGGGTTTTTAGTTTTTCGGGCTTCGGGCTTGGGATTTAGGGCTTATACGGCTTAGGGTCTTAGGGCGTATAAGGCGTAGGGCTTAGGGCTGCTTTTAAAGCTTAGGGCGTAGGGCTTAGAAGCTTGGGGCTTGGTGGGGCCTGGGGATTACAAGCCAGATGTGCAGGCATCAGAATGGGTGGGGTTTAGGGTTTAGGGTTTAGGGTTTAGGGTTTAGGGTTTAGGGTTTAGGGTTTAGGGTTTAGGGTTTAGGGTTTAGGGTTTAGGGTTTAGGGTTTGGGGTTTGGGGTTTGGGGTTTGGGGTTTGGGGTTTAGGCCTCAAGGAAACTTGGAAAGTGGACGTATTCTCGGCTAGGGTGTAGTTCTTGGGTGGCTTGGGGGGTTTGGGCTTTCGGGTTTAGGGTTCAGGGTCAGGGTGCCTGTGTGTGTGGGGTGAGGCTCAATCAGGCGCGCGAAGCTTGGTGGAAACGCTTCTTAGAAGCGGCATGTACGAAATCCTCAACCTCTCCCATGGGTTTAGGGTTTCGGGTTTAGGGCTTAGGGTTTAGGGTCAAAAAAGCAAAGCTGGAACAGATTGGCCTGTTTGAATTGGAAGGTGCATGCTGGGACTGGGCTATATGTGATAATCAGGTGCGCATTGAAAGCGGTTAGTAGTGGCAACTCGCCCTCAATCCTACACCCTAAACCCTAAACCCTAGACCCTAAACCCTGAACCCTGAACCCTAAACCCTCCCTCAAGTCCTAAAGTCCGCAGCTCGAGTTGTGCTACTTGCATGGCCCAAGGCACATGGAGTGCCGCAGCAGCTCAATCATGAACCTGATTTACGATTCCACGCCCCTGAACCCTAAACCCTGAACCCTAAACCCTACACCCCTACACCCTTGGATTTGGGACGTTTTGGGCTTCGAGACCTTCTGAGGCTTCAATGAAGCTTGAGGTTAGGGGCAAAGGGTTTAGATGACTCAGGGCTGATTAGGGTTTGTTTAGGGTTTAGGGTTTAGGGTTTAGGGTTTAGGGTGTAGGGTTTAGGGTTTAGGGTTTAGGGTTTAGGGTTTAGAGTTTGGGGTTTGGGTTTTGGGGTTTAAGGCTTAGGGTTTAGAGTTTGGGGTTTAGGGGTTGGGGGGGTGGGGCTTAGGGTTTAGGGTTTAGCTTTGCAGGCCTCACAAGGATGTGCAACTCATGTGCGCTATGCAAAAAATGAAATGTAAGCACCGCAAGAATACTGCGTTGATGTCACGGAGGTTTCTTGCAATGCCTGGTTCCTAGGCCCAGGGATCCTGCACATGGCTTCTGCCTATGTAGGGTTTAGGGTTTAGGGTTTAATTAGGGTTTAGGGTTTGGGGTTTGGGTTTAGGGCTAGGGTTTAGGGTTTAGGGCTTAGGGTTTCACACCACTAGGGCTGCCAAGCTTCGGTGGGAACTCTTGTGCTTCCACCTCCAGGCCCCCGTAGCGGTAGGTGCACTTGCAGCCTCTTCGACGTAGGCGACGCAGGCTTTGGAGTTTAGGGTTGAGGGTTGAGGGTTGAGGGTCGAGGGTTTAGGGTTTAGGGTTTAGGGTTTAGGGTTTAGGGTTTAGGGTTTAGGGTTTAGGGTTTAGGGTTTAGGGTTTGGTGCTTCGAAGGGCGTGCGGGCTTTAATGTTTTAAGGTTTAGGATGCAAGAGGGGAGGGCATATATCTTGCAGGGGCGAATTCAAGAACTTGGCCGTAGGGCTTGAGGGTTCCATGCTAAAGGTTAGGGGTTTTTGGGGTTTAGGGTTTAGGGTTTAGGGTTTGGGGTTTAGGGTTTAGGGTTTAGGGTTTGGGGCTCAATGTTGCACCCTCTTTACTGTGTGACCCCCCCCCCCCTCCCGAACCCCGAACAGTCGAGGCTGGGTTCTGCCCAGTTTAGACGGCCCCGGGGATTTGAATGGGGAGGAGTTTAGATAAGTTTAAATGGGGCAGCGATGCCCGGCAGTCTTTTATAAAAGCGCGCCACGTGGAATTGTCTTACGGCGCCCGGACGATTTGACTTTAAACAAGGACCCACAAACAGTCAGGGCGTCCTGAATAATTCAGCCAATTTTTATGGAGGAGGCCCCCCACTAAACCAGGTCCAACATTACAGCAGGGCATAATCTTTAGAAGGCTTGTTGAAGTTCAGGGCTTTCGGGACTAGTGCAGCAGGTCATGACCCCCTGAAATTTGAGCTACAGCCCCCCCCCCCCCCCCGCCCTCATCCATGAACCCTCTACCCCGCGAAACCGTAGGTAATTTGAAATTCGGGGTTTGCGTTAGCAGCTTGCACTTTTGTGCTATGAGGCTCCTGGGCTTTCGGGTTTTAGTGCTTAGGGCGTAAGGTTCGACATGTAGGGATGCCTAAACTCTAAACCCTAAACCTAGGTGACGGGCTTTGGAGTTGAGGGTACTGAGGCACATGGTCTTCCAAATTGTTGCCTCGGAAGGCAAAGGTTTCAGCCACTGTTTTTTTTGAGAGTTATAAGAACCATGAGCCTCCAAGTAGGTACCCTAAAGCCTAAACCCTAAACCCAAAACCCTAAACCCTCTGCCATAAACCCTCATCTCTCTTCCGGTGGGTGTTTAGGGAATGCACCCATTTGATCGCCCTGAAATTGATTTAGGACGGCCATGGGCAAGCCAGTGCCCATCCTCAGTCCCCCCCCCCCCCGCCCCCGCCCCCCCCCCCCCCCCCCCCCCCCCCCCCCCCCGCTAGGCCCTAGGCGAAGAGAAATGTAGCCAGAGGCTCTCTGCCAAAACCCTAAACCCTAAACCCTAAACCCTAAACCCTAAACCCTAAACCCTAAACCCTAAACCCTAAACCCTAAACCCTAAACCCTAAACCCTAAGGAGGTTTGGACGATTTTGGGGGTTTCGGGTCTGGGTAGCAGGTAGTGCACGGAAGAAGCACCCCGGCTCCGCAAGTTCGATGATCAAACGGGTGTAGGGTTTAGGGTTTAGGGTTTAGGGTTTGGGGTTTGGGGTTTGGGGTTTGGGGTTTGGGGTTTAGGGTTTAGGGTTTAAGGTGACTAGTCTTGGGCTTTGTGGATTTCAGGCTTTTGTGCCGGAGAATGGTTCCCGAACCAATCGGTGCTTTCGGCCAGCCTCGCTTCGTCATCCAGGCCTCGTGAACGAGGGCATTTTCGCCCCAAAGCCCTACATTCCAGTTTAGGGCTTAGGCTTTAGGGATTAGGGCTTAGGGCTTAGCAAAGGGCCCTTCGTATGTGCCTCTGAGACGCGACGGCCCCCTAAAACCTAAGCCCAAAACCCTAGGGTTTAGTAAACCCTAAACCCTAAACCCCCTAAACCCTAAAACCTGAACTCTCAAGCCTAAACCCTAAACCATCCAGATGAACCCACACATTCAATGCAGCAAACATGTCAGATGCTGGCATACCAGCCATCCCTACTCTGCACAAGCGGGAGGAAGGCGACTTATACGCCTAAAGGGTTTCAGGTTTACAGCACATTCCCAATATCACCCTAAACCCTAAACCCTAAACCCTAAACCCTAAACCCTAAACCCTAAACCCTAAACCCTAAACCCTAAACCCTAAACCCTAAACCCTAAACCCTAAACCCTAAACCCTAAACCCTAAACCCTAAACCCTAAACCCTAAACCTAAGGGACTAAAGGATGGACCCATTCTTAGGGACCTTAGGGGTAATTTAGGGGTTGCTTTGGGGCTACCTGGGCATATAGGGACTATATAAGGTATGTATAGGGTTATACAGGGGAATAGGGGTCCCTCCTTATACCCTTAAAAAGAATTGCTGGAACATCACGATCCCCATACCCCAAGAGGGTTGCAAAAGGGAATCCCAGCACTAGCCGTTCTTAAACCATGTCCAAACTATATGGAGTTTACTATAGGGTTTCGGGATTAACTACCCACCGCCCGTGCGCCAAGTTGGGGTTTAAGTGCTTCGGCATGTCACACTGTGAGAACTGTCGGTCTTGGATGGTGTCATGTGTAACTCTACACCCTAAACCCTACCTTACACCCCCCTCCCCCCCACCGAAAACGCAAACTCTACACAGATGATTGCTTAAGGCTTTGTTTTGGGTCGAAGGGGAAAGGGTTGATGAGGGCTCAGGGTTGAGAGTTTAGGGGTTAGGGTCCAGGGTTTAAGGTTGCGAGTTGGGAGCTGAGAGGTGTGGGGCTCGGGGTTGATTCGGGTTGATGAAGGCTTCGTTTGATGGTATAGGCTTTGGGGGTGGACGGTATCATCATCTCGTAGCAGAACCGCCTCCTGACTCGCAACTTACTGCAAACGCAGCATGGTTTTCTCTGCAAGGTGTAAGCATGCTGAGCACACAGAACAGCAATGGGAACCACCACGGCTGCAAGGGACAGTGTCCAGATTCCAAAGGTCTTTGTCTGATCAGCTTCGGGTTCATGAACTCCCGTGTTGTCCTGCAAAAGGTGGACAGCCGCTGCACAGTTGCACTCTAGGGCTGCTTTCAGGGGCGTGTTGCTAGAGCCATCAAACTTGTCCCTGTCTGCCTTTGCTTCTAGCAGGAGGCGGACGATGTCTTTCGAAATGCTCTGGCGAGAAGCGATATGCAAAGGGGTTTCGCCGTCCTTGGTGGCTTTATCTTTGTCTGCCTTTGCTTCGAGGAGGGCGCGGACATTCTCTGTTCTGTCGAAACGACAAGCCATGTGCAACGGGGTCTCGCCGTTTGAATGTACACTGTCCTTGTCCACCCCTGCCTCAAGCAACAAGTCGACAATTTCCGGATCACTTGCAAATGCTGCCAAATGCAGCAACGACTGGCCATAAGCTGACACCTCATTCGCATCAGCAGCCGCCGCCAGCAACAAATGGACCATTTGCGAGTGATTGTTTAAGCAAGCCGTCGACAAAGGAGTTTCGCCACTGCTGTCTGCCTTGTCCTTGTTGCAACCAGCCTCTAGCAAGGCACAAACAATACTGTAGTGGGATTTGCGCACAGCCCTGAACAAAGGGGTTTCCCCCTGCTCGTTTTCTAGGTTCGGGTCAGCCCTCGCGTCGAGCAACGCACGGACAACGCTCAAATGGCCACGAAGTGCTGCGCGATGCAACGGGGTCGAGCCTGTAGTGCCGACTTGCTTGTCGAATTCTGCACCAGCTGCAAGCAGTAGGCGAACAATGGTTGCATGGCCGTTTTTGGCGGCAACGTGCAAAGGACATCCATTGTTGCTGTCTGCCCGGCGCTCGAGGAGCAGGCTGATCACTTCAACATGACCACACATGGAAGCAAACACCAAGGGGCTCCTGGGCTGACCCCAAAAAAAAACCTCTGAAAAAGGGTTAGGGGTTAGGGTTCCTGAACATGATCCTCTTAAACCCCAAGAAGGGAAATATAAAATATACCCAAGGCCTACCTAGCCTCATCATGTCAGGATCAGCGTTGGCTTCCAGCAAGAGGCGGGCAACTTCCAAGTGGCCACCGAACGAAGCTTTCACAAGAGGCGATGGATTACCCAAGTCTGGATTCTGAGGTCTGCCTAGTATGTGCTCGACCTCCGCGACTTCGTTGTCTCCTGCTGCTGCAACAAGTTCTGCCACTTGCGCGTCTGAGGCTGAAGAGAAGGTCAGCTGCACCAATTCTAGATCTGCTTGTCCCTCGAGCAGAGTGCCATCATCCAACTCGATGCCGTTCTGAAGCAGCCGCAGCCTGAATCTGGAGAGCCTGCGCACATCACCAACGAGCTGTTTCAAATAACGTACTGGATGTTCTTCTAGCTTTGTCATCTCCGCAAATTGCGCCATCGGCATGGAGACCACCTCATCACCAGAAATCACACGAACACTCAACATCCCGCCCAACACC